GAAGTGTTTCTTTCACAAGAAATGTATAAAATTAGTGCTGTATTAGACTTACGGTACCTAATTTACATACTGTGCAGACGATAATAAACTCAACTTACTAGCCTAAAATCTCCGTAGCGTGTTGCCAGGCGGCAGAAAGCATATATATAATTATAATAAAGTTACAATAAATTAAGTTAATATATAATTATATATACAGTACCTAATTTATATATAATTAATATATAATTATATGTACAGTACCTAATTTATATATAATACTAAACAGACGATAGCAAACTCAATTTAGCCGCTCCGTAGCGTGGCGCAGGGTCGGAGGTAAGTAGTTCGGCTGCTCATCCACTATTGGTCCAGACTCTATCAATCTTCTCGCGAAACGACGTTATAGGAGGTACTTTATATGAAAGTTTCTACAATTTTTTCGCTACGTTATAGGAATTGTCGTTATAGGAACGTACGTTATAGGGGGTCGACTGTATATTGAATGAATATTTTAACATATATTATAAATTTAATAAGGTAAAGTTGAAACACTTGGTTCGTTTCTTTTTGTTAGAACGTAAAACAAACCAACGAACCCGAAATGTACATTTTGGTTTTATGAAGATTTACAAATTAAATAATTGTAGTTTGATAAGCCCCTTGGAACAGCAACAAATTAGTAGCTATTAATTAAGAATATTACACTTAAATATAATTCTGCGCTTTGCTATAATTACGCGACACAAATACAATTCCGTTTAACTTGGATTTATGCAGTTTGATTCATATGAGTTTCCTCGAGACTTTTAATGCTTCGCGTATAGATGTTACTCGAGTATCAGCTCGGAAGCCATTTTTACTGTAATGTACTCAACTTCGGTCTCCATCTTTGTCAATTATCTCGTATACTGATCCTCGAGTTTCCTCAAAATCTTTGTGTTGTTCCAGTATACATTTTTCCGAGAAATATTTCGATCTGGTTTGAAGAGGGTTATTTATTTCTAAAGAAACAATACTTATCTTAGAGAATGAAGATGCTTTCGTGTTTTGTAAGACATTTGATGATTATTTCGGAATCTCGTAGGATTGTGATGTTTCGATTCGTATAAATTCGTAAAATGGCTGAATACATTATAAAAGCCATCGCTACCCTCGCAATTACGCTTTATGCCGTTTTATAATAATTAAAAATACAACAGATAAGACAACGCGCAATTTTATTTATTAACTGTTTTATTTTTTAAATAAAATCGTAACAGCCCCGACTGGTTGCTGGATTTTTACGTGTCGAATGATTCTTTACTCTTTCGAAGGTTCCCGATCCTGAAAGAATATCAATTGTTCGACGTTGTTATTCAAAGAGCGTAGATATTATTCATTTATGTTCATAGAAATTTACCTGATTTTCAGGTTTCGATGTAAATTTACGTAGAAGCATCAATGGAAAAGCGTATACGATACACATTCCTCCTAATATGTATACCAAACTACGGACAAGAATAGCTTTTAAGAAAGTAGTCTTTAGAGATTTAATTTATATTAAATAATTATTTACCCAGTAAATCCTAAGTAATATACAATGGCGCTACTTAATAAAGGACCTGAAAAATTTTAATTTCTTTCTAATAAAATAGGTACGTTTAAGCGGAAAACATACAGTTTATAAACATTATAGACATGTTTTCCACTTAAACGTACCTATTTTATCCGTTACACACAGAATTACTTACCTAAAATAAGTGAAGCGCATAGTGCAATATCGGCGAAAGCGTAAACATCGCTATATATAGAAGTGTGACGAACATCCATTATGTCACCCAACATAGGAAACATCGAAGACTCCACCAATCCTGAATATACAATCAGTTTTTATAAAAGTTTTGTTGTAAAATAGATTTTTATTCACTAACCTATCCCAAAACCGACCCCGGCGCAGGGAGGAATCAGCAATTCGAATGTTGTCACCATAGGAATCTGCAAGATAATGAGAATTCATTATCTGATAACAGTTCAATTTATAGATTTAGTCCATACTCACACATATCGCACTTATTCCTGTGAGGATAAGCCCTACGGTCGCTACTAACCACCTTCAGATATTGATTTACGGTTATTTAAATTATCGACATAAAACAACCGGAAATTTAGTATTTACCTGCCAAATTTATGACCCAAGCGACCAAACACGCAGGTACCGATTAAATACAACACACCGGGAGGTGAAAAAGTGACGCCTTGTTGCCATTCGGGTGCATTCATTTTCTCCATCATCCAGACTGGAAGCGATGGCTCTAAAGCCGATAATACCATGTTAGATACTGTTAGAGATCCTATAAAAATGACACACATTTAAAAGTTTGTCACACATCGCTTTGTTGCGATTTAGAATCAGAATATCGAACTGATAAATCAATTAATTTTAGGACGGGTTAAGAATACTCCAGTTTCGAAAGAGTGGTTAATTTTCTTTCTGCCTTCTTACACTTACCTGTTGCGATGATGATATATGGGTCTTTTATAAGAGACACTATCGAAGAGGTGTTTGTTTTGACTTCTCTACTAAGTTTAGGTGGTATTGTTATTACCTGTAGCACTGAAAATATAATCATTAGTTAAATAATGTAATTTTCACACACGCGAAATGGTATGTTAAAATATTCAGCATATAAATCCTAGAAACATTGTTTATTCCAAGACACACATTCTTCCACTGAGATTACAGCTGTTAATATCCAAAATGGAAAGGCTTTTCCCATGAATTGGTACGTAATTCCTCCGAGAGCGGGCCCTATTAACATTCCAAGACCTACTCCATTTAATGCTATAGACATGGCATTACCTCGTTCTTTATCATCCGGATATATTTTGGCCAACATACCCATTCCTGTATACGAAAACATACACAAATCATTAAAAATGTCGCTCTTCTTATTTTGTAATTGTCGTCGTTAAGTGACATTTCGAAACTTACCGGCAGTATTAATGAAAGCAGAGCCGACACCGTGTAGACTTCTCGAAAAGAAAAGTATAAAGTAACTCTTACCTATGGCATAAACTAGAAATAAATTAATACGTGTTGATAAACTTTCACTTTTACAAACTGCTAATTAAAATTTATATGGCCGCGTGTTAAACTATCGCAAGATTTACTTGTTTTATAATAAAACTTTTCGTTAACTAAACAAAATAAATCGTTACTCGCGTAATCCTTTCGTTAGTAACAGTTGACTTACTGATAGTAGACAGAAGTATAGTTATGAGTCCGATAAATATAGGCACGCTGTAACCCATTCTGTAATTTTAAAAACGTATACATAAGACATGTTCCCAGATGATTCTCAATTGTACGAAAAATTTGAACATAAGTGTTTACCGGCAAAATTATTTACTTTTCAAGCATTTTTTGCCGTTGCAGCAGCCACCTTATGTTATGTAGGAGATTGCAAAGTATAGTTACTCTCGTACACCAATTTTCTGTCTCTTCCTTTTGCTATTTTCTTATAAATGTTGTACGAAGTTTATTATATATCACTACACCAACTTCTTTACGATAAGGTGTACGCGTTTTGGGATAGGGAGGTGTGATGTGAGTATCGGATTGTTAACGTAATGGTAATGTTCCTAATCCTTCGTGTATTCTCTACATCGTTGCAAAGTGTAGGTGGTCTGACGTTTAGAATCTTAAAGGCCACAACTTGGTTCTAGAATTGATCGCGTGAACAACTACGCATATACAATAGTGTAAAAGGATGGTTTTAGAAAGATGATTTCTTCTTCCTTTAGTCTTGTGCCTGGCTATCACTGATCTGGGGTCGACTTTTACCTCGAGCCCGAAAGGATTATCGTCGACCAAGTTTACGAATTCTTCGGTATCTGGTTTAGGGTTTCGGATGATGAACACGTCATCGATATTCCGTTTGTATAGTATGATATGAGAATGTACTATTATGTTTGGTCCGACATAGGACTGTCCATTGTGATCCTTCTTTGTTGAACATATACTTTTCATACAGTTTGATGACTAAGGGGGAAAAACGTATCAGTTTTACTACTGTTAATTTACAGGTAATGTTCTGTTTCTTCCGTTAACAATTTATAAAAACTTCCTTAATTAACACGCGTTTATAACAGACACATTTCAAATATTCCATTGTTAATTCGTACGTATCCCGTCGATGGTTGCCGAAAAAGCCGAAAACGTTTGAAAAATATACGATTTTGCTGGTGAAGACTTAATTGGAAATTTTACAGAATAATAATAATTATTTAAACGTAACTGTTATTGGAAATTATCATTTCAGTAATTATTCAGTAAAATCTTACCTATTTATAAGAAGTATTACAAAATAATTTGTTATAATTTGTACAACAAACTTAGAAGCAAACATGATTCCAAGCTCCGTATTTTCTTGTATTAATTGCGAATGTTTCATTTTTTCCCGATCTTCCTTTATGGAATCGCCGTTGTTGGCTTTTGTTTCAGAATTAATTAGAATGTTACGATTAATACAGGAGTCGTTGTGTTTACAACTTTCCATCGCCATCGTTGCGTTGTATTCGGGAAATACATCCGTATCGTTGTGTTGTAATTTATACAGATAATCGGGCATGATTGGAACTGAAAACAAAGGAAAATTATGCATTGTATTTTTTGTCATTTTTACGAAATTTTCTGAAAACTTAAAATCTATTCCATCGTTATTCAATACATTCGCTACATATATTCACTCTCTCGTGTAAACACAATTAAACTTTACAGCAGGCATCGAATTTTGTCACTGTAATTTCGACAATGCCGAAACGATACACTAATGGATTTGCTACCAACGTAACTATCGCGATTTTAGTCACTTACCCTGTACTCTCGAGATCTATTCGGATTCACCATACTCACCTATTATCATGCTCAGTATATTATCCAATAGAATGGCTGTAGCTACTGTGAATAGAATTACTCGTCGAGAACGTAATCTTTCAAAAACTGTTGTACAAATTCCAATAACCATTTTCCTCGAAAAAGATCCTTTTTATAAATGTAAAAACAATGAATCGAGTCAGTATTTTTAGAATTAGTGTAATCTTTTACGCAAATTTAAATACCGGGTCAGTCAAAAGTCCAGAAAAATTTAAAAACTCTTTAAAAAAACGCATTGAAGTACGGTTTGAACCGTAAGTGGGTTCGGACGGGCCCGCCACGTGGAATTTTCCGGATTTTCTCCACGTCAGTAACGCCCAAATAGGGGCCAGTTTCCCTTAGAAAAGGCCTCCCGGGAGATACTCTCCCTAGGCAGATGGCTCAACTGTTGCGTTGCCATAACAAAACAAAACAAAAACAAACCAACCCTCGCTCACTCATCTGTGATTAAAAGTATAAAATAATTAATCAATTAAAATACATGGAATTCTTTGAAAATACTAACCCGAAAATCTATAATCGAAAGAACTCTTTTTAAATGATGAGTTAACGATGAACAGAAATATTAAATATGTCATAAAAGTTATTAGAGACAAGTGTCGTCGTCATCAATGTCATCCGTCTCTATTAATATACATAATAAATTAGTGAAGTGACTGTCTTAAATACTTGTTCGAAACTCGTTATTTCGTCAAATTCGCAATAAAAAAAGAAATAAAAATATTTATTTGTTTAATTTGAATAAAAGTTATAAACTAACATTTATCCAGGAACAGGAGATCTTTCCAGCAGCGCATCGGTGCCGGGCACGCCCGGCAGCCCGGTGCTAAATTTGCGCAGACCACAATTTAACGCTAATTTTCTAATCACTCGCCGCGGAGAGTGATCAGAAAATTAGTGTTAAATGTGGTGGCGAGGTCTATATTGCTGTTAAGAAGATCCTGCATTGCAGAAACGTACGCATACGTTACATTAATTACTATTACTTACTTTACTTTTACGCAGCGCTTTCCAACATTTTTTATCACGGGACACTTACATAGTACGAAAGAATTTAGTACGCGCTTCGCTAAAAAAAATCAAAGGCTTACATATATTATTTACCGAAATTCTGTCACCCGCCGACCCATTTATTATAACATAAAACGGGGCATTCTTCTTCGACGTCTCTCATTTCCTTTACCCATCATTTCGCAGCGAATAGAATTTCGTTTTGTAGTAGTTTACGTTAAATTTACGCATAATATTGCGAAAATCTTTCCTGTCTGTAAGAAAATTCGGGAATTTCCTGCGCGGCTTTCGGAATGTCGAATTTCATCCGAGATGCTGGAATGATGCGCCTTATACATTATCTTACGTATACGAGTAAACCTTTGTTTTTCGGTGTTCAAATTCTGCAGAATAAGCGGAAAAATCATTATTTCATCATCATTAAACGGCCTGAAATCAAACTAGCAAAATCATTGGTAAAAAGTATTGCAATACATTCAAATTCGTAAAGATATTTAATATTAAATGAATGTATTCGTGATAAAATTAGTACATTTTATTGAAAATCACCATTTTTAGAGCTAAATCGAAATTACTTGTAATTCGTGCACAGAAATACGATGAGCCCATAATAATGGTTTTGGTTTGTTTGCTTTGGTTTATTTGGTTACGACAATGCGACACGTGGGCGATCCGCCGAAAGGGATGCCTCCCGGAAAGACCTTTATGGGAAACTGGTTCCTATTTAAGCGTTACGTACGTGAACAAAACTCGGAAAATTTATAATTTCCTAATTATAATATTGCTCTTTTATAGGAGCATTTATTTCTGTATTGCGGTTTTGTCTCGACAAACACGAAAATCTTTTATCGCGTATATCATAAAATTTCCATATTAAAGCGTCTACGCGGCGACACTAATGTCTAGATCTAGCGCGTACGCCGAAGTACCATCGTTTGGACGGTGTCTGGAATCGCGTATCGAGAGTAAATCTGGATTTGAGCTTCTCGAGTGTAGCCTCTAGCGTGGGACAAAATGAGGTCATTTTGCTGCACGCTAGAAGCTACACGCGAGAACCTAAATTCAGCTTAATTATGCTATGTAACGCAATAAATGTCGGTGTCGCGCGAACTGCGTTGTGTCGCGTGCGTTATATCCGATTTCTAACCTGCGCGAAACTTAAATTTTGATTTTTCTGTGTGAATGGGGGCTTAAGCGCCTATAACCCTTTCCTTTCGCAATAATATTCTGAAAAAAAAATACATTCGAATACTACGAATGCCTCCGATATCACGCCATACGTAGCCAGTGATCGGTACCTTCTACTAACACGCCCAAAACGATGACCGAATGGTTAATTGTAGCCCGCCACTCTGGGAAACTAGGAATCGAATCCGGTTAGGTCTGAAAAAAAAAATTCCAGGAATTTTTCGGTGATGGCCATGTCGGTTATGTCAAGCTCCACCACTTACTGCGGGTCTGGAAACCCATTACGGTTATCCGTAATGGGTTTCCAGACCCGCAGTAAGAGGTCATTCTAATATGGTGTTGCCAATTTTTAGAGATTGATTTTATTATTAGAGGTGGCAGGATTTTAGAGATCGCGTCGATCTGCGATCGACGCGATCTCTAAAATCCTGCCACCTCTAATAATAAAATCAAGCATTTCTGTAAAATAGGTGTTCGGTACATTAACCCCTTCCCTAGCGCAGACTCGTATTTGAATGACCCTCTAATAAGTTAAAGCTTAGCGTGTTTGGAGTATTATTAAAGTGGACCGCCAATTTTCCAGAAACCAGTTGGGCCATATAAGAGGGATATACTGTACTGTTTAAAATTTAAATAGTAAAATGTTTAGTTAACGATTTAAAGTTTCTTACCTGCACCTCGGGCAAGAGCTACTTAGGCTGTAGACAGGTGTGACGGAATTATTACGCGACGTGGTTGCTACTTATGCATTTTTTAATATTCGTATTCATTCATTCAATGAATATGGATGAGTGCGGAAATTACCGTACAATTGAATTTCAATTGTAGTAAGTACAATTGAAACGCGCGCCACCTGCCAGCCATAAATATAAACAGCTACTACAGTAGATAGGCCACGTGCCAGTAGTCGAAAATGGCGCAGACGGAGTCTGCTTTGTTATATCAATTAAACTTTGTAAGTTCGCTTACCATCTCGTGGAAAATAAAAAAGCGCAAAAGCCAAGAATTTTCGAAATCGTCGGAAGTTAGGAATGTCGAACACTTTCGTACCCGCCATTGCCAATACTTTACGCAGTAAGTACAGTACATCTATTAGACATTAATATTTAAATGGTACAAATCTAGGGCCGAGTGACGCGTTCGGGACTTTAACGGAACTGTAGAGCGTATCGATAGGAACAAAAAAGTCAAAGGAACCGTGCCAGTAAGGGCGATTTTTCGCGAGATATAGCCCCCCCAAAACGACACTATGTGAACTTTTTGAGACCCTCAAAAATGGGGTAAACTTTATGTAAATGCTGGGCCGTGTTCAGTAACGTAAAATTCTTGCTAAGTCGTTTCTAGCTACTGCGTATGTGCATATTTCCAATGAAAGATCCGTATTGTCGAATACGGGACCGCTTCCACCACCAAAATATTTGAACGGTGTAAAGCGGCCAGATTATAGGCTTTGGCGCGTGGGCTTTACAGAGCACCAACCTCGCGCGGTTAAGCTGGTAGATGCTATACACCAAAATATCGTATAACGCTTCCAACGATTCTATCCGGGGCCGGCACGGCTTCCCCATCGTCAAATGTCACCGCACGCCAATGCCGAATACATTTTAACGGAAGATAACGGTCCATTTCGTTGATTACAATTAATTTCGTCACCATCTGACGCAGCTTCCGTTTGAATAATTGCATTGGTTACTTCGTCCTTTTCCACCAGTTCGTTTGCCACAATTGTCGCCATCGTAATTTTAACTTCGCCCACCATTTTGTCCACTAAGAATAATTGTTCAATGGTGCTCGGAACATTCTTATCTTTGCCCAGTAAGCCACCGAGAATTCTAAATTAGGTGTTCCGCGTTACCGAACACGGCCTCGATTTACTAGATTTACTGTATCTGTTGTAAAATCAAAGATCTAGCGTAAATTAATTCGTATTTTAGTTTATTTTTCTTCTTTTTGTGTCTCGAACATAATCCATTTAGAAAATCCAAAGGCATTTTACACATTTTACAATATACATTCCTTCTAACTTACCTACCAATCTACATATGATACTCTGTAACTCTTTCTGCTCCGAAGGCACTAACAAAGCCTTTTTTTATTCTCGTCGTGGGTTTTGCCAGCCCACGGTGGAACGACCGGTGATTAAAAAAAAAAAAACGGGTCTCTACGCCCACGAAAAGTCTTGGAGTTGCTCTTCCGGATTCCACGCCGGACTCGCTGTTAATACCAGAATAGGCTAGCGCCTTAACCGCCCGGCATATTACCACCTAAACAATTCTCTTAGTGATAAAGTATGTTAGTCACGTCTTCTGTAGTCGCCGCTGAAATTTAATTTAACATATTTGAGGTATTAAACTTCGGACATAATTAATTAATTCATTAAGGCAAGATACCAACACCCCAACAGAATGGCGAATTACAGCGTACTACTATCATAAATTACCATGGTTTGCACCGCTCAAATCAAGATTTCCTCACTGTCCGGCATTTAGGCAGTGTGCCAAGTTCTTCCGGAGGGACTTTTTACGAGAAGTTGGTCCCTATTTTATTTAGGTGAAGAAAACTCTAGAAAATGTACGTAACCGGCCCATTATTGGCCCACCAGTGGCCGAGTGGATAAAACCAACGAACACCGGTAGTTGGCCGCGTGGAATTTTCTGGGTTTGCTTCACTTTAGGGAACCCGGAAACTCCTAAACTGGGGCCAGTTTCCCATAAAGAACCTCCCTCCCGGGAGGTATCTTCTCGGCCGTTGGCGTATACGAATAAACCAGCGTATCGGTTTTGTGGTTTTAATCAGTGACGGATCTAACGGAAAGAAAGACGACAAGGTAAACTTTCAAACAATATATTTGCTTTCTCATAAATTTACATAACCCATTTGGTGTTTTTTAGAATATCAAACAATAACAACACGATTACAATCCGTTGAATGCAGCGTTAATTTGCGGATGGCGACGAGGGGTATTTTTTTAAATGCCACGACAGGCCTATTTCTAGGAATTATGTACAATATTAACAATCTGAAAAATAAAACTTTACATAATTATTTTACATGATTTTAATACAACATCAATTTTCAACATTAATCATTTATAGAACTTTTTCGCAGTTCATTTTTTATTTTTGTTTCGTTTTCTTTCAAAAAAATAAATATGAAATTTCATTTGTAATCTTTTATTATTTTAAATCTTCACTTTTTAAACGAATTTGTTACATTTCGATAGTAAAATCGGTGATAAAAAATAAGTAAGAAAATATTTTGAATTTTAAATTTTCTCTAGAATAATTTTGTTCAAATCTAATGACATTGTTTGTATAAATAATCACATTTATTGTTGACGCCGATGTACACGAGCGACAAAGTTAAGATTACAACGAGCGCCGTCGTCACAGACAATTGGTTAAACCCGTATTGTCGTCTTCGTTTTCGGGCCCTTTACACATTTTCTACGTTAAGAACAGCGAGTAATTTTCAACAAATTCGAAAACAATTAGGACACGTAAGTTACACGACCGTAAAAGTCGATTCACACGAGCGACAATCAGCGTCGAGATCGTTGATAGGCCTTATCGTCGATACTCTTCGTCGTATTAATTTTATCGCTCGAGTATATCAATCTTAAAACGAATAACCAACATAAAATAATATTTATTTTGTCTTCTCGTATCGATGTCGGATGGGGTAATTAACACAGGCGAGTTTACTTCACCCATTCTTTTACGGGTTTCTCTTCTTCGGGGGAGTCTTCGTTGGTGTAGCTGATGTAGCGTATAGTCGTGTCGTTTAGAAGAAACTAGAAAAAACAAAGTATATTTGTAAAAGTGATCTCTACTTAATGCTTCAAATACTACATAATTTCGTGTTATAACGCTTAGTGTCCGCGAGATGAAAACAATGCACGCTTTCACCATAAATCGTCGGGAAGCCAGCCATCCTACTTTCCATCTCTTGTGGTTTAGATTAACAAAAACACCAATGTAGTATAAGATGTAGGGTAGCCATAATTATGTCTGTTGGAGGATGATACCGATACCTCGATGAGATGACCGACATAAGCGAAGGATAAAAACGATTTCGTCATCCGTAAAATCACATTGAAATTACAATTTTGAGCAACAAAAATACTGCGCTTCTTAAATCATAACAGAACGTTTACGCAAGTGTAAAAGAGAAAGTTAAAGGGCAAAGCGCTCGGGAAGAGAGACCACCATATAAAACTACGACTATACAAATATTTTTATTAGTTTAATATCCTTATGGAATGTACTCGGTAGCAGCATTCTCAAAACGACTACAGAAGAAACAAATAGAACATCTCCGACTTAGAAAAAGATTTACTCCTGAGAAATTATTTCATAGATTAAGCTCATTTTAAAACATATTCGCATCCAGTTTTGTTTAAATCCTTAAGGATTTGGCTGCGAAAATTGATTCTGTATATTATGAATCACGTTTCTATCTCAAGCAAATGCTCGGCTCTCATCAACAGTACTGTAATAAAAAAAAATACTTACAAATTTAGAAAAAATCCAATTACGGGTGGCCCAAAAATCAGTTACCCACTTTAAAACACTAAATTACTTTCGACTAATTATTCTACACTCGGTTTACTGTATGATTCGTGTTCGTAAGTTTACCCAGAACACACACGGTTAACTGAATTGTGGGCCATCTTATGTAATTTTTTACGTCCGTTAAAAATAATTAAATGTTTTACTTCATACCTGATTTTCATCTTTGGCTGGAACTTTTCTCAGTAGCAGCAATAGGGGAGCGTATAAAAAACATATTACCCCTGTCGTGTATACTAATCTGTATGTAAGAAATTCTATTTTAATTATCTCTTACGGAAAATTATTTCGATTTATCGAAATATATAAAAATCTTAACAAAACTTTACCCTTGAAATCCCAGGGTGTTCACTATGGCACTGCTCAGTAAAGGACCTACAAAATTCAACTCGTTAGTTATATAATAGAGTATTTACTCGATAGTATATTTGACTAATATTGTAATTTTATAGGAAATTCGCTCAATAACGAAAGAATAAAGTTTAAAAATAATTTGAAACTTCTTCGTATTCTGACCACAGCCTTATTTGTTTGGCCTCTAAGCAATAATATATACAGTATGAGAGGGCCTTCGCTCTTCAACAAATATTACTAAACCTAAAAGCCCGAGTATCTTAAGTTTTAGCTTTGTAGCACGAGGCCCTAAACTATAGCTTTAATGAGAGCCGAGGCTCTGAGAAACCTTTCATCCAACTACAGTTTATGAGTTTTTAACTTGTTATTCGCTACACAGTTTGGCTATAGGTAAGTTCTTACCGAAAGTAAACCCAACACAGAGTGCAACATCCCCAATTGCATAAACGCTACCGTAAACTGACGTATGTCGAACATCCACCAGATAACCCAGCATTGGCATCATGGAAGAATCGACCATACCTGTTGGCAGAAAACATTATTTTAATTAATTGAACAGAGTAATTTATTAATGTTTAAATCACTGACCAATTGCAAATCCAATTCCGGCATTGGGAAGAATTAGATGATTGAACGTCTTTGCCATTGGGATCTAAGAAAATTAATTGAAATAAGTTTACGTAACCCATGGTTATTCCAATAAGTGAACTATACTCACGCAAACGACGCACGTCCCGATGATGATGAGACCCACTAATGTTGCCAACCATCTGCAATTATATTGTGGTTGTCGGATTTAAATAATCACCGTGATAACTCTCATTTTTATCATATTACCTTCCCATTTTATGCCCCATGGGCCCGAAAATGTTGGTTCCGATGAGGTACGATATGCTGGCCGGTAGGAAAGCGGCTCCCTGCTGCCATTCTGGCGCACTCATCGTGTCCATCATCCACAGAGGGAGAGATGGCTCTAAAGAAGATATGCCCATGTTTGCGAAGGCCAAAGCTCCTGTAAAACACTTTAAATTAGCGATTTTTGGAATCTTTTCCATCTTAAAATATGCGGTGACGTTTTACCTGCCGCTATGAGGATGTAAGGATCTTTAACAAGAGTGAAGAGCGAAGTACCTTCTTGAGTTTCCTTCATAACTCTAGGTTTTAGTACAACTAACTGTAAAACTGAAACGGCATAAAAGTTAATAATTAATTCAATAAAACAATAACTGTATAAGACATTAAACACAAAATATTCGTGATAATTACGTCCGTCGAGTAATGCCAAAGCCGCTAGTATCCAAAAAGGAAAGGCCTTTCCCATGAATTGATACGTGACTCCACCGAATGGTGGACCAATTAACACTCCGAGTGCCAGACCACCTAATGCTAAAGCCATGGCGTTACCTCGTTCTTTATCATCAGGATATACCATGGCTAACATACCCATTCCTGCCAATGAGAAACGAATTCCGTGAAGTAATATATATATATAAATTAAGTTATAATAATTTGTTATTATTAAGATCCTACAGACAAATATATTCTCTGTTTATAGGGCCCTACAGTAACATCTATGTAGGATAGAGAAGAGTTGATCGTCTACTAAATTACTCTCTGCTTTTAAGAAATAGAAAAATTAAACAGTAGATATTTATTAAATATGCCTTCTATAGTATACATTATGCCCAGTTGTTTATTTTCTAAATTTTGATTAACTCGTAGATACGTTTTTGAAGCCTCAAAAGTTGTTTAGGGCCTCTGAGATCCATAACGCGTTGCTGACTTTCACTCTTTCATCGGTTGTACTGTTTCGAGAGTGCGAAATTGTCAAATGGTCGTGAAGATGATGACGATTGTGGGTAGGACACGGAATTATAAATTATATTGTGGGTAGGACACGGAATTATAATTAATTGTAACTAATAATCAAATTTTATCGCTGATAGTGACCGGTTAATCGGTGTATTCGCCATTTTTATTCCGAAGAATAGAGATAAAAATGACGGACGAGAGAAAATTAAAGATTTGTCGATAGCAAAAATGGTATCCATTACAAAGGCCCGTCTATTAATTACGTGTACAATTTAAGGGGGGATTGCGAAAAGTACATCATTGTACAGAACGGAAGGGAAGGGGCGGTTTAAGAATGGACGGTCCCCGAAGACCGTGGAGAAAAGCGTAAAGGAAAATTAGGAATTAAGAATTTGGCGTGGCATTGAGTACTATATCTGAGAAACAAGGAGACAATTTTGGAAAACTGTCCATGGCCGAGTGCATAAAACCACTGAATACCGGTAGTTAGTCGCGGGTTAGCGCCTCGCTAACGGGCTGATTACTTGGAGTTTTCCGGGTTTTTCTTCACTCCAACACCTTAACAGGGGCCAGTTTCCCATAGGAAGTCTCTCCGGGAGGCACCACCCTTGGACAGATCGCCCAAGTATGTTACCTACTTCAATCCATTTCGTAACACCTCGATTAAAAACCACCGCACTAAGTTTACCAGAAATTGTACAGAACAAACGCAGACGGAACGGAGTTTATTTTTTTAAATGTCTGCAGGACAAAACAGGGGTTGAAAAGGTGATTAGTGTCACGTAGTGAAAAAAAGCAAAGAACGTGTAACTCTTGCAAGCTGTTCTGACAGGTAATAAACAGGTAATACAGTAGCAGTTTTCGTTTAAATCTGTGGCACGTGTGATTTTCTTGTGAAGCTCGGGCAAAAAGACAAGTCGACAGGGAGGGTTAAACTCTTCGTTAGCTTATGTCGTTGCATCACTCGCGACAATTTGTTCAGTGCTCTATAACTAAATATTTATTTTAATTAAATTTAATTGTTGTTTAAGTTCTATAATTTTAAACCTTACCCGCAACACTAGTGCATGCGGAACCAACTCCTTGTAAAGATCTGGCAATGAAGAGGGTGGCGTAATTAGTACCGATAGCGAATACTGTAAATGAAAAGTACTGCAATAAAAATATGTACCGACGTATGTTAAAATAATAATTAAATTAGCCCTTAAATTTATATTCTTATAGTTATGTCACGCGCAGCTGTAGGCTGTAAGTGAAGAATGAGAGGGTTTTTTCACTTATTAGAAATTAGTGTAATTAGTAAGTTATTAGACAGAATTAACTTACTGACAGTAGAGAGAAACATAATTACGAATCCACTAAACATAGGTATGCTGTAACCGATCCTATAAGTTAATAAAAGTATAAATTAGCTTCTACTGTACAGAAATTAGTACAAGAGAAGACAGGGTTAGTAAAATAAATGCTGTTACTGTATTACAGTATTACAAACATTATAAGAATTTGGATGGATTAGAAAGGTTCAAACCTGTTCGTAAGAGGTCCTACGAAAGGATTAGTGATGGCCTGTACCACCGGTTTGGACGCGAACATGACACCAACCTCTACGTTCTCGTTCAACAGTTGCATGTGTCGAACCTCTTTCCTGCTTATAACGGTGGTTTCATCGACTGTAGTTGTGGTTTCCAAATTTACAGGCAAGATAGTAGGGTAACCGCGATCCTGGTTACACGAGTTAGCCACAGTTGTAGTTTCCATCGTCACAGTCGTCTCTTCGTATAAAACTACAGTGTCGTTGTGTTCGAGTCTGTGCAAAAAGTCCGGAATGATGGGTACTGAAATTGGGAGCATACAGTTTTTAGTGTGATGCAATTTCGAGTAACGCTGATGGTAAATTACGGACTGACTTACCTACTGTGCTGAGCAACATGTTATCCAGGAGTAATGCTACAGCTACAATGAGCAGGATTAAACGCCGAGAACAACGGAATTTTTCGAGCAGGTTGGTGCAGAAATTGAAAATTGACGTTTCTTTTTGGGTCATCCTGAATTTTGCGCTCTCCTGCAACGTTAAGTAAATAAATGATACCAAATTAAATTACAATACAGGGTTTGCAACAAGTAGGTTACACTTTTAAAGTACTAAAACGTTACGTAAAGGTAATATATTCAATTTTCGTCAGACGAAGAAGAGCCGAATAACGAGTTTGCTGACGGTAACGCCTGCAGAAATCAAGCTTCTGCGACAGTATACAAGGGTTAATTATGTGTTAAGAATCGGGGTGAGGATAAATTACGACAGAATAGAGTTGTTTCTTTTTAAAGTGTAGGAAAAATGCGTAATTTGTAGTAGATTTAGTGCCAACTGCGACAGAACTGTAGCGATTTTTGCTTCTGGATGATAGAAGACTACAGGTGGCGGATGGAAGTTAAGACTTCCTGCCATTAAATGGCCGTTTTCATCAAGCAGAGTGGTTCCTTTCCGGTCTGACGCTCTCCTCCTCCTACTGGAGAGCTCGTCATTCAACTCACTTTCTCCACACCAACCGAAATTACCGGGTTTGTCCTCGATGGAGATGCTTAAAAGTTTATTGTTTCATTCGTTTCCTCGAAAAATCCCTTCATCAAAACACCGATTTGACGGGGAAATTTTTCAAGAAATTTATTTCCGAGTTAACACAGCAATGATTTTCGTATTATTAAAAAAAAATATGCGGTGGTGCAGAATCCGACGTGATGATCCGAATCAAATTGGGATAAATGGGACAATTAACTTCATTTTATGGGGAGTGAGTTACAAGAAAATATAAACAGTTTTAAAATGATAAACTGTAGAGCAATGTTGATAAAATAAAGTGTAAAGGTCGGACATACGGACAGACGTTCGTTACGAAAAATGAAAACAATAAAAAACGGAATGTGGAGGACACGAGGCAAGGGTAGGAAATGATCGAAATGTATGCTAATTAAATGAAAAACTAGAGATATTATTTTAAAAATGTCATAAGTAGGCGTATGTATATTTTATAATGTGTCTATAGTAAAGGTTAAAGAATAGAGGTCATATTTAAAAGCACGAACGGAAGATAAACAAGTGAAAGGGAAGGAGGTCGGAGAGAAATTTTAATGAATTCCACTAACGGAAGCGAGTTATAAAGAAGTGATGGATGAAAGGAGCTGCAGAGATATGTCAGAAAGCAGCGCTTCATCAAATGCCAATGGGGGCTTATCTCTTCTCCTGTATAGCCAGTCTGATCCTTCTATCGATGATGATGGACTGCCCGGTCGCCTGTTGCCTCCAACGACAATAAATGCACGAGACTCTTCTCCATCCTTCACTCTAATTAAGTGCTCGGTATGCACCTTAGTGGAATGTCCATTCGTCTGTCCTAACTTTTAGACTCGTTAAAATCGTCTGTTTTGTGTCTTCGAGAGAACCGACAGACGAGGAAGACCCGCCACTTATTCTTCCATTTATATGTCGTGGGTGGTGGTTACTTTCGAATTATTGTATATATTGGAGAAGAAATAAAGGTCAAAGTTTGATCGAGAAAGTGACGCTCGAGTTGTCGAAAAAGTTGGTCCGAGTAGGTTGAAATTATCGATTAGGTATGGTGAACGTGGTGTAAATCGTGCGTGTGAAGCGGGTGATACGCGTTTGAATGCGCGTACGTTGGGAGTAGGCCTATTCAATGTTCAGAAGTACAGATAAACGGGGTTCGTATATATACACGTCAACCCCTATTGAATTATACATATGTATTGTGTATTTACTATATGTATCTGTGAACGTGTATCGTATGGATAATGTCGAACACGGCTTTAAGAAGGGTGATGTACTGTACATTGATCTGCGAAGTGTACCGAGTGGACCGAAACTAGCCAAAAAGAAATTGAGCGTGAACTTTTTATAACAGTATAAAATCAGGATGGGAAAAGGATGTGTTTATACTTTGATTCAGTCCCTATAACCAGACGGCTGTGGATCCGGGATCCATCTGGAGTCGGGCCCCGTCCCTCACCCCCAACGCCCCATCGCGGACCCGGAATGGGGCGCCGTGGCTCTCTTAGCGCTGGCAGAACGGAAAGAGTTTAATAAAGTTCCATAACCGGGAATAAATCATTCGACTGGACGAATAAATGAGGAGCGAGATGAAAAAATTGTATAGACTATAAATAGTGCCGAGTTAATACAACTCCTATACGAACGTTCCTCAACTTTATCGGTTTAATTTTCCCATATTTCGAATTTGATACAGGTGATTATTATTAATTTAATCCGATAAAAATAGGTTCGCACTCCGATAATGCGAGGAACAAAGGTTGGACGCAAGAAAAAAATAAGACGCAAAGAACTAGATGAAAAATGTAAGGAAACACGAAAATTCAGTAATAACATTTATATATTTAATTAATATAGGCCGTAGAAGCGAATACGTTACGTCCTTCCCCCGCTACTTTATACAGAAACGAAATAAGATTTGCCCGTATTACGGATTAACACAGATTTATGTTGTGTTTGTTACATTAAATTTTGTAACAAAGTAATGGTTTAACTTCAGTTTTACTCGGTGTATCAAGTTCTAAAGTTTAAGTTTAAAAAAAACCATTAAGTTCGTCACTTAAAGTATCGTCACTGCATTTCAAAGTATTGTTACGTATTCTCTCAAACCGGCGTAACATTTTAATACTTTTACTACAATTAATAAACTATCAAACATCAAGTAAAAGAAGTACAAGTCGACCCCCCATAACACTGTTGATAATTCCGTTTTATATGATTTCCGCGTTGTACGAGTCACTTAGATTTTACAAATACGTGAGCCGTTTACAGCCCGGCACACGTATTTGTAAAATCTAAGTGACTGGTACAACGCGGAAATCATATAAAACGGAATTATAGGGGGCCGACTGTATTTTAGTAAGAATTTCGGCATTTGGCTGTCGTTGGTGGTTGGTGAATTTTACTTAATTAAAACGGTTGCACCCTTTTAAGAAATTTTATAAATGGAAGAAAGAGAGGTGAAGATTTAGAGAAGGAAGAAGAGGAAAAAAGACGAGCGACTCACGAAGGAACGTAGCTTTTTTAACAGCGTGACTAACGAAGCAGTAATGATTACACGAAGCGTGACATCTCACGAAGGAAGGATGACAAATTGGTGGAGAAGGTGGTGGCCGATAAGAGACGTCTCGGTCGTTATTAAACGCGCGTTCTTCCAGCCCAGAGATGGAGAGTTCCAGAAATACTTGGCCTCACTTTAGCTGCTTGGCGACTCTCTAATGACTCTGCACCCGTCCCAAACCAATTACAATAAACCTTCGTCGTCAAATATTCTACATTCGAGTCTTTATTAAGCGATAATTCCTCCTTTTAACTTTATTTATTGCCGGGCGCCTCTCGTAACGCGCCATTTCTTTCGTATATAATTTTAATTTAAAAAAAGTAAAAAACCCCGATAGAACTCTCTCACCGCTGCTCCGCCACACCATGCGAAGCGTCGCGACTGACACGTTGTCACTTACGAAAAATTGATACAAATCTTCCACCGTAACGATAAAAAAGAAAAAGAAAAATGGTAAAGTTTGAGTGACATAAATTATCATTTGTAAAGTTATAAAAATAAAATAAAAACTCTTAACGCCTTTATATCCGTCGGTGTCCGTCTTAATTAAACATGGCGGCGGAAAGATAATTAACTCGACCTATACGATGTATACCTTTTTTTTATAAATTAAATTTACTTTTTGAGAATTTTATATTTTAAATAATAAACATTTTAAAATAGCGCAATATTTTCGAAATTCGCATTAATTGACTGGAATTTTAGCGTATTTTCGTCGTTTCCCGACGAGTAATTTGGTAAAATTCGATTTCCGAAAAACTATTTCTTAAGTTGGAAAGTGCTTTTAATTATAAAAATTGCCGTAAACAGCAGATATATAAAAAGAAAAAAAATTACCTTCGTTAAAAAAGAATTGGGAAGTTTTTGAAGCTTCTTTGTTGATAATGTAACTTTGATTTTAACGAATTTTGTCTTGCATCTTCTCCATCTTCACTCTCTCCACTTAAATTCTTTAATTCCTTTAACGGTTTATTGATATTTAAAACTTCCAAAAATCTCCTCTAAAATCGTTTCAATTTTTTTTAAATAAATATCTTCGGCTGCAATGTAAAAAAAATTGGATGAAAGTTTAGTACAAGTCGACCCCCCTATAACACTGTTGATTTTTCCGTTTTATATGAATTCCGTGTTGTACGAGTCACTTAGATTTTACAAATACGTGAGCCGTTCGCAGCCCGGCACACTTATTTGTAAAATCTAAGTGACTCGTACAACACGGAATTCATATAAAACGGAATTATCAACAGTGTTATAGGGGGGTCGACTTGTACTAACTTTATGTTGTGATTTTTTTAAAATTATCCTTAAAATAATTCACATTTTGATCCCTTTTTTTGTATTTGAACGATCCCCCGGTGGTCGAGGGTTCGAGCCTCGTCGACGTGGGGAATTTTCCGGGCTTTCTAACACTTAAATGGGACAATTTCTTAACTGGAAGTCCACAACCCCCCTTTGGGAATCGTTTATTATGACCTTTTAAAAATTCATATTTTTGCCCTTTAATTGCCGAAAATTATGTAACGTTCTCCTAATTTCAAATTGAAAATTTTGCCCCTTGACGGGTGGAATGTCTGTTTGTTTGCGTAGAAAAGGCTGGTCGGTGTCCGTGTACAAATTACACTTTGTACGAAAGCTATTCCGTAGGAGGTCCCAAAAGTCGGCTTACCGTTTTTATAGGCTTCTAGAGAACGTTTTCGGGTGAACTAAGTTTAGAACGGCGTGATTTTTAACGTACATAGAGACGTGATAAAAAAGGAGACGGTTAACTGACTTTTAGTCCACCCTGGGTGGGGGAAAAATATAAAAAAGTTTTCGGTTGTTGCTTAGTTTAAGTTTTAAGCTAAACTTACGTGTTTACTTACCCGCTTAATGAATTTAATAATCTATTTGGAAAGAGGAGCCGAATTGGCTCCTAAATTTATTTTTAATCTAGCTTCAGACGTGTTCCTTTTCGTGTTAAAATGTCATCCGCTCCGCATCGGAGTGACTTTATACCGAATTTAAACTAATTATATGCGTATATCGATCGAAATTTTGTGATATTTCGCATTGATATTCGAGCGAACTGTCACCGGGGTGAATGGAAAATGCAAAATAAACGAAGGTGGCCAAATAATGGATGGCCACGTCACGAGACACGACTTCTCGATTCGATCTGTTGAACGTAATGGGCCAACCATTGAAAACCGTTCGTCCACTCTCGGCCACATCCTGTTCACATTTTAACAACGTTCACCCTTAACGAGACCCAATGCACACACTAATGACGTTCCGCTTCTTATTTTTTCCCTACAGGAAATATAAATTTTCGTCGGGGAAAAAAATTGCTCACGCGGCCTAGTGGCTAAGAGTTCCATTAGATTTTAGTGGTAGTTAGTGGTTTATATACGGCGCAACACCTCCGACGTACAGACAAGAGAGCCCGCTAACGCTTTACTAATGCAGATAATAGACTGGTTTCTCCCCGCTGCACATATCACCGTGTGGTTGTTGTGACTAGACTCTTCCAATCAAAAAGTGACACGTGCCTCTGACAGTTTGATTGTCGTGTGCATTGTCGTCTACTCTGATGCTGCACGACTGCGGGAAAAATGATAGCGCCTCTTCTTCTCTTATTGACTCCTTTATCACGTCTTCCCTCCTCCCCTCTTTCCAATTAAATAACGCAAATTAATACCGTAATAGCTCCAACTTAATAACTTTAAATTCCTACGCCAAGCGCTGTTTTATTATTAATAGTGCCAGTACTTACCCATAGTCAAAGCGCGCTTCGAGTCCGTAAAAGTGGTAAAAAAATTTGTCGTTACTTATGGTAAAAGTAATTGGGGGAATATTCGTGGTAAAAATAAAAACTATTACACCAGAGCGTCTGTATTTGTGGTGCAATTTTCACCACCACCACCAATTAACATCATAGATGTAAGCTAGGCGAGATTCTTATGGTATTAGTTAATCATATACAGCGTGATCACATTGGCATTATGGTAAAAATAGGCTCAATGGGCGTAAATAATACTCCATTTTTTGAAGTAGAAGGCCGGATGGTTGAGGCGGTGAAGGCGTCAAACTACCGCTCTGGAGGATTCGGGATAGAATCCGAACGTTGGATTTACGGGGTGATGCGTATAATTAAAAAAGGCCCTCCCGCAGCGCGGACAAAAGAAAACAAAACGTTACTTTATTTGGACGAATTTGCATAAATTTAAGCTAAGGGAGGCGATTAGAAGGAGTTTTAGTAAAAGGTCGGTAGACAAGGTCGGTCATAATTAGCCTCCTACGGAGGAAGTTCTTTGTGGGAGATCGAGATGCGGATGAATGCTTCCCGGGCAACAAATCGATTCCCCACTTCTAGTCTCGCGATGCGGCCTTAAAATTCATCTTCGCACCAATTTTATTCCTTTTGAAAATTAAACCCGAATTAATTTTTATCGTTCTTCTGCCGATGCCAGAGTTGTAATAATATTCACGGAATGATAATGTGGCCCGGTGGAAAGATTTATGTATCTTTTGCTCTTGGTGACAGAAAGATTTATCATCGTGTGAGCGACATTGATTTATTAAGTGATCGTAAGACCCGACCCCGCAAAGATGGAGGCTTATCCCATCACTTTCTAATCACTTCTTGCCTATAAAAAATGAATCCCAGTTGTCAAATATTATGTTTATGACGGAAAAAATTATGCTAAAGATTTTGTCTCGCGAGAAACTTCCAAGAAAATATATTTATTCCTAATCTTCGTAAGTTAATACGTGTTAAGGCCTACAAAAACCTATTGTTTTGTAATTATTGTCGATTTAAATAAGGAAAGAACTAGTGGGCTTTAAGAGATGGCCTTTCGTATTTAAAAAAAAAATAACAATGAGTTTGAATGGTTTCTGCTAAAGGGTAGCCTGTGGGCAAGAGTGACAAATGTCATTTCATGCAGCGGGTGTAGCAAATATATCACTCCCTAAGAAAGATGAGAATGTATCGAAGCCACGAGCCTTTGCTTTTTTAACTTTTAAACCGGATTGTTATTTGCTATTTTACTATAAGAAATTCGTGTTTTCCCCATTAGAACTTTGAAGAAATTACGGAATTAATACATTTCTAAAAGAAGGCCTTAATAGGATCAAAACCCACGATGTAGCTTTACGTTACTGTTTAGTGTACCCTCGGATTGTATTCCTATGCTGCGATATCTACGAGAGGCCCTTCCTCCTTCGCCAAACAATAACGGGCAATGTGTATAAACTGTATTCGAGAATAGAACGAAATCCCTCGTAACTCGAGGCCCTAAGCTATACTTATGGCTCTGTTTATCCTTACGCGCTTAGCAGTATTGTCACTTAGTGTGTATATATTTGCCTAATGATAACGCAGCGACGAACGTGTTACGTATAGATTTGCCCGTAGCTATATCTTTTAACGTAAGAATAACTGATACAACATGTTATACGCTACTTATTGTAAACTACGTATCAAAGAACAACAGCGAAGCGTGGGTTACGCCATCAGTTTTGTATTAGTCAACGATAGTTTATTAGTGAAAAAGATAAGTAACTCCAACAGGCAAATCGTAAATTATAAAATTTTACAGTAAAATGGTAGAAAATGCGTATAAATATGAAAATTGTATGGTAAAACGCTTCATAAATTATAAAATGAATGGCTGAACAATGAGGCTTGTAGTGTAGAAGAGAAGAAGTAACTTGGCAAAGTATAAACGAAGGGCACATAATTATAAAATTTTGTCAAGTTATACGCTGTAGCTTCTTAGTAGTTGAGTTTTTTAATTTGGCTGTCAAGGTGAGATATGGCAACCCTCGTTAAAAGTCCTTTACCTTTCTTACCTCCTATGATAATTAGGATAATAAAGTGTTGCAGAGTCCATCCCATCACTTATAACGATAGTTATATTTATTACGCCTTCGCCTTTTTGGCTTCAATCAACAGATGTTCGGGGTGGTCCCGAGGTGATCGACCAAAATTTGATGGCGTCGTTCGGGTGGGGAAGCCAACGTCACGCGCCACTACTCCGTTGTCACGCTCCAAATGTCATCCGATCTACGACGAATCAATATTGACGATGGACGAGAAGAGAAATCCGAGGACTTTAACACTCTAATGATTAGAATTTTCCATTAAGAAGCCGTTTATTCTTATTTGTAATAAACTGTTTCTCATTTAAATCGTTATCATCGTAACATCTCTGTGTTACCTTCTCCGGTGTATCATAATCTCGAAATTTCTTCAGTTTTGTAGGGTTTACCGCTCTTACATTTGATTCTACATCATTTCTGCACGAGTAATTATTCTTGTGATTCGTTTCGGTGTAACCGTTACGCTTAAATGTCTTCAAATGCTAAAGATAAGCCGCGTACTTTTGAATATCCGAGATGAATAATTCACGCATTATAAGGGATTTAAACGTCTTAAAGTTGTTTTGTTACGTCGTTTTCTCGTTATATAAGCGTAACGACAGGCTATACACCTCTTCCAACTCTTTTTCTGATATAAAATAAACGAGAAGTTAATTTGTAACAAGTGCCAAGTAGATTACTTGCTTATTAATACACAATTACTTAAGTGTCTATTTGCTTAGTGATAAACTGTGATGAACACGTTACGTACTGTACGTTCGTCATTCCCCTCTCGAACAAGAGTATGAACCTGTTACGTTTTTTCGTCTAGGCCTGTAGCCTATAATTTTGCACTCTACCACCCCTAAACTCTACAGTAACACCAATACTGGTAAACTTGTGTGGCGCTTAGAATTTTTATGGGTCACTCTAGTTTAAGAGGGGTTAAAACTGCATAAATAGCACCATTTCTTCGTGTTAGTTCGATTCGAGAGAGTTGGTCGTGTGTTAAATTACCCAACATTTCTCACTAAACACTACCACTTCGGTGTGTTCGGTACCGAACGACAATTTAAAATCCCTCAACACCTAATCACAAGGATGTTCGGAGAATTAGATAAGTATACGGCGTAACGGGAAGAATAAAGCGAGAGTAGAAGGTGAGAGATTGAAGATAACCGAAAGGTGAAGTAGGTGA